TGTGCGACACTCCGCCTTTGAAGGGGTTGCACCTTCTGCAGACGAAGCAGTGGGTCTATTTATATCCCCCCGACCCACTGGGGGTGATCAAGCACTATATTTTGAACTATATTTTGAATACGATAACAAAAATAAATAAATACTTCCGAATCATTGAGGATGCCACTTTTCCTCTTTTTTCTTTCCTTTGATATCCTTAAGATGTTAAGGGGAGGTGCGGGTGTTGGTCCTGTAATAAGTGTGAGGCGTCTGTGAATGTTCCAGGACACTTTTAACCCCATCTTGCCAGGTCTTCCTTGGTCTTCCTCTTGATTTGAAGCCATATTCTTGGGTGTGGTAAGCTCTTACTGCTAATTGTTTCTGGGGCATACTGGTTAGATCCGAACCGTTTCTTCCATTTCTAATGTGGCAAAACAATGGTTTCAGAGACGTGTAAATAATGTTGATCGTTAACACTATAGCATCGGCTGTGTCATAGGATGGCCTCGTTGCTGATACTTTGAGATCCTGAACCTCCCGCCTCCCAACAAAATCAGTTTTTTATTAAGCGACTAGCCAAGGATAGGGAAAGGTGGAGAATGTTTGTTCGTGGCCAATATCCTGATCCAGGGTGAGAAAGGTAATGATGATGAGGGAGATTCAAGTAGGATTTTGTGCCGGATGAAATTTTGTATTAAATGTTTGCAAAATAAATCCTGTCTCTGATAATAGGTTCGATAAAAATTGTTGTATGAATCCTTGGTAAAATTGTGCACATTATAGTTTACAGTCAGCTTCCTGCTGTTTCTTTAGATGGTATGCTGAAATTTCTAGAGATTAAGTATTTTACGTCTTAGAATATCAACACACTCACACATCAGAGAGAGAGAGAGAGAGAGAGAGAGAGAGAGAGAGAGAGAGAGAGAGAGAGAGAGAAAGAAAAAGAGAACGAGAAAGAGACAGACAGAGAGACAGACATCCAAATCTCTCTCTTGTCTCTTTAAAGTGTAAGTGTAAAGTGTGTTTGTTTAACACCCCTATCAATACTATTATGATAATTTAGAGGATAGACCTCCGAATGTAATGCCCGTCTCCGATAGGACCGAGCCAAATAGGTCAAGAGCCATGGAAATTCCGCAAGGCAACCCAAGTTTAATAACGCCCAATTTGGAAATCGTACCAGAGCCACCAACTGAGCTAACAAGGCTTCCCCCCCCTCCCC